GTGAGAAAATAAATTACAAGTCAAAAGAGGCAAAAAATTGGGTTTTATGTAAACGACATCGATAATGGGCATATAAGATGTATTATTATTTAATTTAATGTTCACCGGCCCTAGGTTTTTATGTATTTCCAACAACAACAAAAACAAAAAAATTATAGAACTTTAAAAAGCACAAGACTTTTGAGATTATTTTCCAAATATATTATTACTTTGTCTTCCCTTACAATATAAATGCAATAATTATCAAGTAACAGAAACGGGCTGATTTAACATTTGATAATTTGTTGATGTAAATGCTATAAACTGTTGATTTTGATTACTTGATTTCAAATACTTTCTTAAGTAAATTAACAATATGGCTCTAATGCGCTAGTTCCAACTTCTAATCAACAAACGTAGTCCGACCAAAACTTAGTCAACTTCGAATTATTACGAAGAAGAAAAAAAAGCAAAATTCATTAATCATGCTCATCTACAATATCGGTGGAATACAGAATACTGAAACATACATCACACCCAACTCGAGTTCACCTAATCATATTATATAAACAAAGGAAAATAATTCGACATAACACATTCCTAAGTCCTAACAAATTCCCATTTTCGTGATAAATCATAACTCGTAACCAATACGTAACTCAATCCTCTCCCTCTCGTTCCGATCCATGTTCCATTTGTTACGGTTCATTAAACTCGCGTGTAACTAAAGAATTTGATTAACGAAAACTAAAATTTCTCTAATTATTTCGTTTATTTATAGAGCAATTTCATTAATATAAAGAAAAGGTTTCGGTTCAATACAATGCGACAAGAGTTTATGACTTATTAAGTAATCACTCAAGCTGACCATACCAAACCCCTTGGATCTTCACATCTTTTGGTACCTTAGCACCCAAGTCAGTATCCGAAGGCTGAAGACTCTCGAACACTCCGATCACTTCTCCGGTCTCCGGTTTGCTCTTTGTGATCTTCAACGTGATCTCTCCGACCGAAGCCGCCGTGTTCTTCACGTTTTCCTTGGCTAGCTCTTCCTCGTCTCCTCTTCCTCCGGCAGGCAAAGCCACGGCATTGTCGTACCCAGTGGAACCACCACGACCCTTAGGGTCCAAGAAAGACGAGCCGCGGTAGGAAGGAACTAGGTATTTGCCAGTGAAGTTGTCGGGTTTGCCTGAAGCCTCGAGCTGTTTCACCGTGAAGAGGAACGGTACTCGTTCTCCTCCCGGAAGCTGGACTGTGACCGCGGCGTAATCGATACCGTCTTCTTCCTTGAACTTCACGCTTCCATCTGAACCAACCTGTCAAATGAACAATTCAATTTGATTTGCTTGTTCCTTGCGGTAGAAGCAACATTGAGAAATTGAGATTGGATCAAGTGATTGAAGAAAAACCTCGAAGGGTCCTTCGATCTCGTCGAGAGTGTAAGTGAGACGGGTCATGAGCTTAGTGTTTTGGAAATCCGGCGGCGCATTCTTGCTGACGCTATCTGCCTTGACGGTAAAGGAAGTAGGCTCGAAGCAGAATTTCTTGCCGGTGTACTTACCAGGCTTGAACGAGAATGTCTCAGAGCCACCGTCGATAGTCGGACACTGGTTTGCTGTTCCGGTCCCCTTAACCTCCATGTAAGTCTTGCTCTGAATCTCGTCGTACGTTAGCCTCTTTGGTGCTCCCTCCGCACTTGCCCCCTTCATTTCCCCAAATATAAAGGTAAAATTTTCCATATAAAATATGCAATTGAATCTACAAGTATTGCAATAATGCTCATATAAAAATATAATCATCAAAACTAATTTGTAATATGAATGGATTTGACTAACACTAGTTTAGGTTCCAATCTTATTTTGAAATGTGGAATTACTAACAAAATCCTCTAAAATCCATTATGGGATCAAACAACTTCTTAAACTTTGCTCTTCAATGAAACAAGACACAAATGCCTACCAAATTTGTATGTGTAAAAGAGAACATGGATATATACCGATACGACTAGAGCAGAGGTGGCGAAAGCGAAACCGGCGATTTTAGCGGCATCGGAGCATTTGCCGGCGAAGTCTTTGAAGTCAGAGTGGAGAGAACAAGTGAGCCTAGCAGGTGAAGAGTCAAGACCAAAGGACTTCCCCACGGTTTGGTTTGATCGGAGATGGACGTTCCGAGAAGGAGGAGAAGCGGCGATCTTCGCCGGCTGGAGAAAAGTTGCGGCGGCTTGAAGAGAGGTTGCCATAAAGACGACAAGTCTCAGATGTTTGTGTGTTTGTTTGAGTGATAATGCGATAGCTGAGAGAAGTAATAATTCGGACAGAGTTTTTTTTGGGGGATAAGGTCGGATAAGTTGGGAATTTTTTCATTGGATTGTTTCATGAGTATATGGTTGTTTGGTCGCCACGTGTCGAAAGCTGATGTGGAAATATAGATACTGTCTCAATCTGCAATACTGACGTGGATATAACAAACAAACAAAAAAAGTTATAAGAAATTCATTTTTATTTTTTTTTATTAAATTTGATGATTATATTTAAAAATTAAAAGTAACAAAGAAAAGAGTTTTACAATTATCAGAGAATATTTTAACAATTGAGAAAACATATTCATTTGAATATGAGAATTCATTATTTTAAAAAAATTTGAAAGATGTTCATTTAAAAAGATACAAGAA